GGGTTTTTTTTTAATTTTTCAACATTACCCGGTCCACCGGGTTTCCACCTAACGGGTATTTATTTTTGCCCAATTCCCCCCCCCCCCCCCCCTCCTCCTTAAATTTCATCTGATCGAGTTCAAAATTTTACCAGAGACACTTAAGGTCATTCCGCAGAGGTAATTTTTGGAAAATTTTTTTGAGACCTTTCCTGCTCGACTTGTCGGGAAAATACTGAAAAACATCTCAAAAACCAAGTTTTTCAATTTTAGAAATCCTATAAGTCGTCCAGGAAAGTCTAAAATAAAATTCCAAAAAATTACCTCTGCAATCTTGAGTACCTCTGGTAAAATTTTGAACTCGATTAGATGAAAATTTAAGGGGGGTCGTAATGTGGTAGAACGAGGCCTGGTAGCAAAAAAATAGTTTTCGAGAAAAAACGCATTTTGTGCATAGGTTACTTTTTTCGGAGCATTTCCTGCGATACTTATATCTCCGCGAAAACTTACCGGAAAATTCTGTAAAACGTCTCATTATAAAGACAACACTTTTTTCTATCAGACTATATGTAAAAAGAAATTTTCATGTACAGAAAGTGAGAGAAAAGTTTATAAAACTAAAAAATTGAGTTTTTTAGGTTTTGAAGAAAAAACTTCAAAATCCATAGCTTTTTTGGAAAAAGGTCGTGCAGTACTGGAAGTAGTCTTATTTTGTAGCCCACACTTTCCTCTACATTAGGCTATGCTCAGCTCAAAATCCGAAATTTTTACAAAAAAGAGGGGGAGGGGTACCCTTAAACATCATCGAATTCAACTTTTCCCAGTAACAATCAAAAGAGATAAATATATAGAGTTAAATGCAGGGATCAAAAATCGAAGAAATGAAAGGTATTTTTTTTGATCGCATCATAATATCGAATTTTCGACACTTTAGCGAACTACATCTTAAAAATCCAAATTATTAAACGATTTCATAGGGAGTACCTCTTTACTTTTTTCTGAATTAGATAAAAAATTTAGAAAACTATAAGACAAAATTAAAAATCTTACTTGTACTAGTTGCTGCACTGCTACTAGTAATATTTGTACATAATGTTGTTAATGCTAATGGTAAACATATTGCTTGTGGGCAACAAGTATTTTGTATACAAACAGAATTATTTGTTGAACATTCCAAATTGCCACTATTATTAATACATGGATCAAGTAGACTGCATGTTACGAGTGGTGCACATATATTAGCATCATTGACTGTTTGAAAACTATAGCATTGTTGAGATGAACAACTGTTTATTCCACATAATGGTACAGAACAGGCAGCATTATAACGAACAAGTTGGCCTTTAAAACAAAAACAACTGATTGACGCATAACCTCAATTGGCTTCAACGCTTTTGTTAGTAGATCAACCGCCAAATGGCATTACAGGTCAACGATTCTGGCATGAGAAGAATATACCAACAATACAAAAACCATGAATAAAATTTTTAAAAAAAGAAGAAAAAGGAGCATACGTGTGAAGCAGTTTAAATGTAACAGACTGTCCCAGGTCACAGGAAATGAGACATGTATGGCTCATTTATGATATGAAGTGAAAATGATCACATTATGATCCTAGAATGATTCAAATATGAGCTTAAAATGATATCATATTTGAGTCATTTTAAGACCATTTCATAAAATGAGATGAAAATGGTGTATATATGATATCATATAATTTCTAAAAATGATCTAAATATGATCCTATTATGATCATCTAAAAATGATCTATTTAGCTGTTTCGTATTTTTTCTTCTTTGTATTTCTTATCTCATAAATAGTCTTAAAATGATCTAAATAGGATCGTAACAGGATCAAATTTTGATGGCCAGAATGAGATGATATTTATCTCATAAAAAAATGACCTAATTATCACTATATTACAATACAATAAATGAGATAACTATGGGAGAGATATGATTTAAAAATGAGCCATATATGGCACATAAATGAGTCATTTTATGGATCATTTTTTATCTCATTTTTCACGGCCTGGGTTGAATAGGAGGAACTAAGCAAAAGATGCCATGTGCGGTGAATGAAATTCAGATATTATACTAAATAATAACTTAAAATAACTTAACCAGAAAACTTAAAAACCATCAGGAATCCCCAGATCTGTCCGTCTCATGAATATAGTACTGTACAGCTTGTACAAGTCCATAATAGATACTTGTCGAAGTGAAAAGTCACGAAGCAGAAGATGATTAGCCTCATCTACGGTACAGAGCAGTGGCGTAGCCAGCTATGAGTCAGACCAGCACCTTTGAAAGCTGCTAGTATAGAGTTGGAATCGGGTAAATTGGACAGGCAGACTTGGTTGATTGAATAACAGAAATAAACGCTTCGTGATGAGCTGGCTGGTTTAAGAAGTTCAACTGTCTCAATGAATTTCATCGACCTTCGATTCCGATTTAGACCCAATGTGAACGAGAGAACTTTAATTACCTTCAATCTTTCTCACATAGGTTGTACATAATAGTATTATTAACCATAACATAAGTTGTCTTGTTTCTTTGACCAGTGACATTATAGAAGTTTATTCGAACTTTTACAATTTTGTTTTCAATATGACGGTTTACTTCAATAATGTTATTCTGTTTATCACTTTCTTCTGTCTCTTAGTATTGCTAAAACAAAAATAAAAGCTATTTTCATATAAACCACAAAAAAGGGAAAAAATAAACCCAGGACGTAAATCGAAACAGCCGACTCAATTGAGGAATTTTGTCACAAGAGATGAATATGACGTATTTTTCGCAAAAATAATTGTTTTCTCTATAACATTAGTTGCTAAAGGCCAAATAAGTCATTACATTAAAAAACAAGATGCTTTTCCAAAAATACACCTCGATGCGAAAATTTTTGAATACACGATAAACGTATTCTATAAAAGTAAGATTTGAGGTCGAAGATGTTTGAGAAACAGAAGCACATTTTTTCATTTCGCTATAACTATACAAAATCTTTCAACATTGTTCATACTCATTTGATCATCTTTGGAAGACGTCGCAGTTTTACCTGCTCTACAAAATGCCAATCTCCGAAATATTCCATTTTCTAGAGATTGGTATCTCGAAATCTGCTCAGGATTCCCATATTGGAACGTATGGATCATATTCATAATCAGCATGTCTATGAATTAGTATATAACTAACTGTGTTTAACGTAAAAGTCGCTGAACAGTTAGCAACGTTCTCTCTTAAATCGGATTTATAAAGTTTATAAACAATCATTTGTTCTATGTGGATTGCCGGTTTGTGCTTTTGTTCCAAAACGATGATACACGAATACTTGTGCTCATCTCTCTCAGTGCTGAGCTTTCCTAGAGCTGAACTTTCCAGTGCCAGCATTTCCTTATGCTGAATTTCCTATAGAATGTGTAACAATTCTCCAACTACAGGATATTTTACTAAGCTCTAATTTAACGTAGAAAAATTGTTGGCTTCTGTTATATTGCTAGATGCTATCTCTCAAGAAATAACTATTTCTTTACGGTTATACTTATAAAACCTGTATCCATCCAATAATGGAATATGGATGTGTTCTTATCATTCTGATTTATTATACGCTATTTTATTTTAAAGAAAAACAGCTGAATTTTTTTCTTCTACCGCCGAAAGAGAGACATGCCTCATTATTATAGGGGGATAGAGGAACAAGATCGATACAATTTAATTACGAATAAAGAGTCTGATACGAAAAAAAAGAGCCAGACCATAATATATGAAAGTTCACAATTCTGGGTAATATTAGAGCCTTGGAGTATAGCGCTTTATCTTCTTTTTAATGTCGCATACAGAAATCTATATGTGGACATAAGGATATATTCAGAAAGGAAAGAGGACAAGCAATTCTCCTACTTCTCACAAAATGTGTTTTTTTAAAAATGTATTTTTTACATAGGTCACTTTTTTAGGGCATTTCCAGTGATGCTTATATTTCCACTAAAACTCATCGGAAAATTCTGGGAGACGTCTTATTTTGAAGAGAAGGCTTTCTTCTACCAGACTATGTGTAAGAAGAAAAGAAAACTTTATGAAACTAAAATATTAAGTCTTTTAAGGCTCTGAAGGAAAAACTCAAAAAAATTCAATAACTTTCGCAGGAAGCAATAAGAACCCAAAAGCTTTTAGTCTTTTGGCTATCCCAATATACTCAGGGATGCCAGATAAGGGGTGGGGATCCCCCTGCTTTTTGAAAAAATTTACTCCTAAATCAGGATTTTCTTACTCCGAAAATTAGCCCATGTCATCAAAACCGGTTGAATACCGGTTACCGCTTCGGTACCAATCTGTTACATTCCCCGGTATACCACCAGTGAAACTGGAATTACCGCACGATCTCCCGAACAGCGCGGTACACTGGTCAGTTGTACGGGCGTTATCAACCGGTATTTTATCAGTGTGAGCAAGCAGTTCAGGAGTTCGAATCTAGTTCTCAGCTTTCTGTTTTTTACAGTGCGCATGCAGTGCAATGAGACACCCGAACAGTAAAAACTTGACTCAAGTCGAAGTGCAAACTTCGACGAGTTTCTGTAATCTGAAAAAAAATCAAAGCATTTTGACTTTTCTGCGTTTCTTATATAGACTGCCAACCGCAAACAAAGTGCGACATGGAAGATCTTTTGACTTACAAGAATATCTCACTGAGTAAGCGTTTACTCGTATTTTCAGAGTAGGACAATTACTCTCATTTTTAGAGTATAAAAGACTTACTCTCAGTTTCGTAGTTAGGAATTTACTCTCTTTTCAAACGTAAGATATTTACTTCTATTTTCGGAGTAAGACATAGACTTTTATATTTTAGAGTATATTATATACTCTATCGATCCACATATGAACGAAGAAAAACTGAGTTGATCACTTGAGAATGATTCCTCATTAGACCGAGTATGTGCGCATCTTGTCATATGTGAGATAAAGACGATACGCTGTACGCCAAAGCTCTATTGACACTTATGTACGCTTTTTCTTTTATTTAATGAATAGACCAAGCGTATATCCAACAATTCAAATACTTCTCTCTGACGAATCGGATTATTCGATAATTTTTTCCTATCTTTGCCTTAACCAATATTCATGGTCGATACTTCAAAGTAAGAAAGCTAAGGAAACGTGGATTCTACTGTATCAAACTTAATATTTTAGCGCTCTTCGTTTAAGTCGAAACAATTTATGACAAAGTAAGTTTTTAGATCCGAAATGCTTGACGTTTTTAGGATTCTCGATTATCAATAACAGTAGAAATCGATAGTTTGATACAATATTTACGTATTTTATTCATGGAGTATATCCTACGTTCTACGGTAGGTCAGCACTTCACAAACTACGAAACTTATTTGTAAATAATTGTAATATGATGG